CGATGGGGCGGAAGCCGCCCCTTGCCAATGGAGACGGGGAGGCCGCCCCTGCTTTGGGGGGTGAGGGAGTTTGGGGGCGAGGGAGCCGCGTGCCAAACGGTCTGGGAAAGCGGCGCCGTGCAGAAGCCGCGGGGACCGCGTGGAGGCTGCTTTGCAAACTGCTGAGCCAGCATCGCTCGGCTTTGCCAGGCGCGAGCCTCCGGGGATCCATATGGCCGGGGCGCTGGCTTTGTCCGTGGCAGGGGGAAAGAGAGGGTTGTTCCCCCCTCCCTTCCCGCCGGCGGCTCCTGTGTTGTGAAATTCCGCGCGTGGAGTGCCGTCGTCCTCCGGTTAAAGGAGAGGATCCTTTTATTTCGCCGCGCGATTCGAAGGGCGAAGCTTGAGTTCGGTCGTTTGCAGCCTGGGTTTTCAGCAGTACGCAGAATTTTATATCGGCACGACCTGCTGCGCTGAAAAGTGGCTTTAGGTACCCTTCGGGGCGCAAATGAAACCTGTTTACAGGTTTGCTGCTGTAGATCACTTTGGATGGGGCGTAGAAAAGGGACGCAGGGAATAAGAGTCAGGAAAGCTGGTGATAAGTCAGCATCAAACTACCATTGATGGATAAAAGATTTGTCGAAGGCTTTCACGGCCGGAATACGATGGCTGGTGTGGGTCGCCACACAGCCCGGAAGACCCACACCAGCCATGATAAAAGATTTGTTAGTTTTCCTTGACACGCATGGGGCTGCCTCTTTTTCTGTTTTTTTGGACATTCATTCTCTCCACGACCAGCCTTTAGGCCTACTTCGTTCCCATTTCTCACTTAGAACCAAACCAGATTTAGCTAAATAAACATTGATACCATCTCGGTTTGTCTCTTAGATGTGGACAGGTACCAGTTTCTATTTCCGGGGGGTGGGGGAAGCTGCTTCTCCAAAGTCTTTGAATTTCTCCTTGTTTCTAGAGTCATTGAGAGTCAGGAGGCATACACTTTTAATATGTTACTATATCTTTTTTATATATATATAAGAGGTGATCTGTCTGCCTCTGCATACAAACAGCTTATGGACCACATTTCCTCTCCATTGAGAAGTGGAAAACTTGAAATAGGAATGGTAGTTATAATTAAGGATATGAAGATGTTGACTAGATTCCCGTGTTGGGCTAAGCCATGGCTTAACTATGATTTATTGAACTTGGTTGGGTCCGCACATGCTAAGGTGTAAGCCAGCCATTAATGAGAAATTCCCTCATTAAACCTGTGGAGCCAAATTTCTAAATAAAAAAAGGAGTTTATTGGGAAAATACAGGAAAAAGGAAAAGTTATCCAAAACGCCCAATAAAATCAATATAATCTATTTAGATAAGCTAGTTATTGTTTACCTCCTTAAATAAGATGTTGGATTTCAACACATGTTGGAAGTTCATTGACAAGAATATAGTTGGAGAGATGTCATCAGGGCCTTCTGCTCAGATGTTGATAGGCAGGGACGTCTTTCCTTGTTCTTCCTTGAAGTGCTTCTCAGTTTTACAGACTGTGGAAGGTTGATCAGGACCAACCTCTTTAGGCAGAGTGACTTTTATTTTATCCAATCAAGGCCAGAGCTCTTTCTCTGATGTCTAAGATCTAGCCAGCAAATCAGAAATGACCTAATGGTTAAACCCACCTTCCTAATGAGGTAGACTATAAAGGCATAGTCTAGTGTTTACTGGTTGTTCTGTTATAGAAATGGAGTAGCCTCATTTGGGGAAACAAAGGCCGAGTTCCATTTATTTGTGCCTCTCAACGCATGATTAATTTATTAGATGTTTATTGGGCTGTCAAGATAGAGTATCATCTACATTTAAGGAACTTAAACAGTTACATTTTAAAAATGACAAATGTTTCCCTGATTCGCTACAAGGGGGCCATTATTTTCCCATGCTTTTGTGACTTCTTTTCCACCATCATTTATTTATTTATTGGATTTCTCCCCCGCCCATCTCCCCCACAATAGGGGGGAGTCTATCCTATTGGGAAAGTCTAGCTAGGATACAGATGTTCTGAAGGGGGTTCCTCTCCAAACACTAGATTGATCTTGAACCCCTGCCGTTTCAGCACAATGGTGCATCATGGGCCTTACTTAAGCATACCCCTTTCTCCAAGCAGGCCTCATACTCTGCCATGGTAGTTCAGAGCAAGGTGGATGGTGGGATTGTTGTTAAGAACTGATGCCTGGACAGCATCACCCGCTACACCTAGAGCAGGGCTCCAGACATTTGACCTACTTCCATCAGCCCCCATCAGTGGTGAGGGGTATGGGAGTAGTACGGGAATTCTGGGAGTTGAAGTCCACACATCTTAAAGTTACCAAGGTTGAGAAACACTGATGTGGAGAATCAGGGAGATGACCTTGACAGAAATACACAGGAACTGTTACCTGGACAAAGAGGGTTGAAACATTCTTCAAGCCCTGGGAAGCAAGGTAATACTTGGAGGTGGCTCAGGCAAAGCCTCCCTGACTCACTGGGATATAACAGGAAGGGGAGGGAGAGCACCATCAACCTTGCAAGGTCCTGTTATTATAGCCAATCTCCATAAAAGAGAGTTCAAGTCTCCCCGTGGGATTGATTTTCTGGTCTGGTCTACCTAGTGGGGCTGACACATCTCAGAAGGTTTCCATGAAAGTCCAGTCTTCCATAAGTTTCTGGAAGCCCATTGCTGAGGGGCCATTCTGGCTTCAGAGTGAGGCTGATCCAGAGATAGAAAACAAAGCTTCTTAGCCTCGGCCCACCTCAGTTCACAAACACGGGGCACTACCGCAGCTTCTCCTAGGAGGACCTCCTTGGACAGGTTAACACTGATTGCAATAGTGCTTAACATGTTTTGATTTGAGCAGAACCAGCGAGCTGCTTTTTTCAACATGCATGGATTCTGGGATGATTTTGAGTCTTGGGGAATGCCTGGATTGGCACTTGTAGGAAACAGCCCCCACAGGTTAGACACATTTCTGTTTTGTACAAGGGTCAATCATTCCCAGATTTTCAGTCCCTGAAACTCCCTCCCCACAGTTCAGTGCCTTTGGGCTCCAAAAGTCTGGGAGGGGGCCTGAAAACGAGGGCACCTTTGTCCCTAGACCAGATGTTGCTTCCTGGATGGCCACCCAATGATTTTGACTAAAACCGTCATTTCCTGCCATTGGTTGTATTGTGTTGAGTGGAAGTCCAAAAACATCTGGAAGAAACCAGACTGCTCGTCCTTGCCTTCAACCAGTGTTTCTCAAGCTTGGCAACTTTAAGATGTGCGGACTTCAACTTCCAGAATTCCCCAGCCATGGTGGCTGGG